CAGGGTGGGGGGGGGCATCCCCAGAGGTGGAGGGGACCCTGGGTGTCCTAGACAGGGTCTGCCGATGTCCTTGCTCTGGCCTGCAGGGAGCTGACCCTGAAGAAGGGCGATATTGTCTACATCCACAAGGAGGTGGACAAGAACTGGCTGGAGGGGGAGCACCATGGCAGGCTGGGCATCTTCCCTGCTAATTACGTGGAGGTGAGCAGGAGCCTAGGGGGCAGCTGGGTGTGCCGAGCCCTTATCCGTCCACAGCTTCTCCCCTTAGCTGGCTGCCATATCTTACAGGTTCCCTAAGATGTGACACTGAGAGCTCCAGGGCAGGGGCCATGTCTCAGCCTCATTCGTAACCTTGGCCCCCACAGCCTGGCCTGGCACTTTGCCTGTACTCAGGAAATGCTTGTAAAGTGAGGGCTAAAGGTGGAACCAGTCCAAGGGGGAGAACCAGGGCCCGCCAGCCCTGTCAGTGTCCCAGACTTTCACCAGGCAGAATCCATCTCTCTCAAGCTGTCTTTGGGATGAATCCTAATTACACCTGGCAAGAGTACAAAGTGTGCGATGTTTACAAATCATTCATTTTCATGTGTACAGCTGACCCTTAAACAATGCATAGGTTGGGCCGCTGACCCCCGCACAGTCAAAAATCCACATGTAACTTTGGACTCCCCCCAAACTTAACTACTAATAGCCTACTGTTGACCAGAAGCCTTACTGATAACATAAACAATCGATTAACACCTATTTTGTATGTCATATGTATTATATACTGTATTCTTACAATAAAGTAAGCTAAAGAAAAGGAAATGTTATTAAGAAAACCATAAGGGAGAGAAAATACATTTATTTTATGCATTCATGACATAACCTTTTTCTTAATTTTTTAAATATTTCTCAGCTACACCGTTCATGTGTGTGTTTTTACAAAATGTTGCAAATCTCCAAAAAATTTCCAGTATATTTACTGAAAAAAAATATGCATGTAAGTGGACTCACACAGTTCAAACCCATGTTGTTCCAGAGTCACCTGAATTAACCTCCCTGGTTCCTCTCATTAACTTGGAAAAGTAATAAATCTGCCCCATTTTACAGATGGGCTTACTAAGGTTCAGAGACAAGTTATTAAGTAGAAGACCCAGAATCTGAATCCAGACATAAGTTCTGGATTTGATAGATAAAGGACTATCAGTTATGTTTGGTATTTGTATCTTTTAAGGAATTTCAAGGTATCTAATTTATTAGCTTAAGGTTGTTAATGATATTTCCTTATTATTCTTTTAGTGTCAGTAAACTCTGTAGTGATGTCCTTTCTTTCATTCCTGATATTGATAGTTTGTGTCTTCTCTAATTCTGACAAGAGATTTGTTAATTTTATTGATCTTTGCAAAGAACCAACTTTTGATTTTATTGATTTTTCTCTATTTTTGTTTTCCATATTATTGATTTCTGCCTCTTCATTATTTATTATTTCCTTCTGTTTGTATTAGGTACAATTTTGCTCTTTTTTTTTTCTAGTTTTTTAGAGTGGTAGTTTAGATGATTGATTTGAAACATTTTCCCCTAATATATGCATTTTTAATGCTATAAATTTTCCTCTAAGCACTGCTTTAACTGCATCCCACAGATTTTGATATTGTTTTTTCATTCAACTCAAACTATTTTCCCATTTCTTTTGTGACTTTCTCATTGACCTATGGGTTGGGTTGTTGTTTTAATTCAGGCTCTTGATTTAGCAGACATCAATAGGCCTCCCCTACCCTTAGAACTCTCTCTCTGATCCTGAAGTTTCACAGAGTATGTAGAGTATTCCATGTCATCAGTCATTTACATCTCAGTATTAAAGAGTTTATTATCGCCCTGGCCAGTGTTGCTCAGTTGGATGAACGCTGTCCCATGCAGCAAAAGGTCACCGGTTTGATTCCTGGGCAGGGCGCATACCCAGGTTGCAGGTTTGATCCTGGCCAGGCTGTGTGCAGGAGGCAACCGGTTGATGTTTCTCTTTCACATCCACGTTTCTCTCTCTCTCTCCCTTCCTCCCTCCCTCCTTCTCCCTTCCTCTCTCTCTAAAATCAATAAAAATAGCCCCAGCTGGTGTTACTCAGTGGTTAGAGCATCAGCCCGCAGACCGAAGGGTCATGGGCTCAATTCCCAGTCAAGTGCTCCTACCTGGGTTGCAGGCTTGATTCCAGGGCCCGAGTTGGGGTGCCTGCAGGAGGCAACCAATTGTTGTCTCTCTCGCATCGTTGTTTCTCTCTCTCGCCACCCTTCCACTCTCTTTAAAAATCATTAGAAAAAGTATCCTCAGGTGAGGATTAACAAAAATAAATAAATAAGATAAAGTCAATAAAAACAGCCCTGGCTGGTATCTCAGTTGGTTAGAGTGTCATCCTGATACACCAAGGTTTCAGGTTTAATCCCCAGTCAGGGCACATATAAGAATCAACCAGTGAATGCATAAATAAGTGGAACAACAAATCGATGTTGTTCTCTCTCTTCTTCTCTGTCTATAAAAATCAATCAATAAAAATTTTAAAAATCAATAAAAACATTTTTAAAAAATATACTTAAAAAAATAGTTTTTTAGCTTCTTGATTTTTATGAGTAGGGTGAAGCAAAGAGGGCATGGAGATTCTGGGCAACTGGAGGGATAGAAGGGGAGGAGGAAGGAGGACGCTCGGTTCTCAGCAGTGGTAAAATGTTAGATCCTCACTTGTAGAACAGGCCAGCAGGTGTTCCCTGCTCCTTGGGACTTGTTTCCTTCTGCCCTCCAAGTTCAACTCTGTTCACTGAATTGGCTTCCATCTCTGCACTGCTACTGCCCACTCCAATAATGCCCACTCCACATACCTCTCTCTAGTGGAAATTCTTCCTCCAAGGGCCTTCTGGGGTTCACCAGCCCCTTGGCTGTGCTCGCCCTGGCCACCATAGGCTTGTGTCTGGTGTCTGCCTTTTCTTTGGCCTAGGAACAGAGCTTACCATACCACCTTCTCTTTGTTGCCTCACCCTCCCAGGAGCCCCAGGCCTGTGACCAATTAATGTCTAGGCTGAACCTTTTTCATGACCTTTCTCCCTGTAGGTGTTGCCTGCAGATGAGATCCCCAAGCCTGTCAAGCCCCCGACCTACCAGGTGCTGGAGTATGGAGAAGCCGTGGCCCAGTACAATTTCAAGGGGGATCTGGAGGTGGAGCTGTCCTTCCGAAAGGTGCGGCCAGGCCAGGCAGGAGGTGGGGGCGGGCGGGGGCTAGTGAAGACATAGGGAAATATGTGTAGTAGAACATTTTTTTAAAGAGTCAGGTGTATCCATCTTCATCCAGTATTTCCAATGTTTTTCTGGGTCTCTTTGCATATATTTCCCTTAATTTAGCCCATTTTTTAAAAGTCCAGAACTTCTAGAGTAGTTGTGCTTTTTTCAGTTCCAGGTTGGTAGGTTTTGAGGATCACAATCAGCATTTTTAAAAGAATAAAATGGAAATATTAGAAGGGCTTGCATGTAGCCCTGGCTAGGTAGCTCAGTTGGTTAGAGGGTCAGCCCAATACACCAAGATTGTGGGTTCCATCCCCAGTCAGGGCACATACAAGAATCAACCAATCAATGCATAATTAAGTGGAACAACAAATCAATGTTTCTCTCTCTCCCCCCTTCTTCTCTCTCTCTAAAGTCAATTAAAAAAAAAAAAAGCCTTGCACGTAGAAAGGGTATTCTCTCAAATATTTAGGCATTTATACCCTGCCTGGTGTGGCTCGGTTGGAGCATTGTCCTGTGTACTAAAAGGTTGCCAGTTTGATTCCTGGTCAGGGCACGTGCCCAGGTTGTGGGTTTGATCGCTGGTCAGGGCATGTGATCCATCTCATATTGCTGATTATCTCTCCCTCTCTCTCTGTCCCCCCCTTTCTAAAATAAAAAATATATATATTTTTAGGCATTTGTGTGTGTGTGTGTGTGCTGGGTTACTATAGGCTATGTTCAAGAAAGCTTGAAAAATGTTGTCCTAGAAAGCAGGGAACTGGTCTCCCTTTGGTTGCTTTTGGGGGCAGAAGCCATGAATCCCCCAGAAGAGCTGGCCCAAGGGAGAGAAGGGACAGGAAGTGGCTGGATAAAGAGGTGGGGGTGGGAGAGGGCTGAAGACCATCTTCCCCAGGGCAGCCCCACCTGACCTCAGTCACGTGGGCCTGGGGAAGCACTAGCTGCCATCAGGGAGTTTGTTTATTGGCAGTGGTGACAGGATCACTCAATGTGGAGGCAGGGAAAGGACCCAGTGGTGGTTAGTGCCTGTCCAGTGCTTCTTACCAATCTACCATTGATCTCCTTTGCTACTCACAGCAACAGTATTATCTTCACAAGTGAGGAAACCAAGGCTCAGAGAGGCAAAGTAAGTTGCCCAAGGCTACACAGCTTGAAATTGGCAGAGCCTGGTTTGGACTTGTGTTATTAGCCACCAGGCTCCCATATGACTGGAAGTCTGCAGAGAGAGAGAGCTTGGAACTCAGAGGGGGATGCATGTAGGCTGCCCAAAGAGGCAGGACTTTATCCAAACCCAGCGCCACATATTGTGGGCATTGTTTAGACTTCTGCTCGCTCGGCCAGGCAGCCTGGGTTTGGCTTCTGACGCCTCCATTTTCTAGCTGTGTGACCTCTGCAGGACCTGCTGACCCCCCCTGAGCCTGATGCCTCTGGGCATCCAGGTAGGCACCCTTGGGTACGTGGTACCCAGGAAGGCTCTCTAGATACTGACTTCTTTCTCTCCCCCAGGGGGAGCGCATCTGCCTGATCCGAAAGGTGAATGAGAACTGGTATGAGGGACGCATCTCAGGCACGGGGCGCCAGGGCATCTTCCCTGCCAGCTACGTGCAGGTGGGCCGTGAGCCCCGGCTCCGCCTCTGCGACGAGGGCCCCCAGCTCCCTGCGTCTCCCAGCCTGACCGCAGCCCGGCTAGCTGCCCGTCACCCCAGCTCCCCAGTAACACCACGCAGTCCAGCTGATCCCACCGACTGGGGGGGCCGGACCTCCCCCCGCCGCACCGGTTTCTCCTACTCCACTCAGGAGCCCAGACCCCAAACCCAGGTAAGATGATAACCTGTTTCAGGTGGAGAGCTGATCCCCGCTCCCTACCCCATACCCCCCATTCCTATGATGGGGTTGCACTTCAGAGCCCTTCCCAGACTGCTCTAGGACAAACAGGTGGGGTGACTAGGCAGAACCTGGCATTGCAGCCCCACCCTGGCCTTGTGGACCTCTGAGCCCTCAAGTTGGTTCTGGCCCTTGAGCTGCATCCCAGGGAGAATGGGATAGCCAGCCGGCCCTAGGTGGGACCCCAGAGCCAGCCCAGGCCTCCTGACCCTTCAGACTCCACTTTTGTGACTTGCCTGTGTCAGCCTCTGCCACAGGGTGAGGCCAGGAGCTGGGGGTCTGCTGGTAACCTGCTGTGTGACCTTGGTCATATCATTTACTGTCTCTAGATGTGGGATTTCTCATCTATAGAGTGTTCCTCACCTGTGAAATGGGGTGATAATTCCCACTGCAGAGGGTAGTTGGGTGGGTTTGAGCTACAAGTTTATACTTAAGGGAAGCCATTGGTCCTGGTCCTGACAGCTCACAAACAAGCTCGTTCACTCCTGCAGTCACCTCTCCACTCAGCAAACGAGTATGAGCAGGCACAGTGCGTGCATGGGCCCCTCATGCTGGCTTTGTCCGCAGTGTTCAGAAACCAGCCACCTGCCCTACCTGTGGAGTGAAATGGTCACAGAACCCCTGTGCCATGGGGACTGAGGGGTCAATGAGCAGTGTGGGAAGCGCTGCCCCGGGGAAGTGGGAGGCCATTTCACTTCTCTGCCCTCATGCGGCTTGTGCCCACACCTTTCCTCCTGTGGTCCCCCAGAGTCTCAGCACCCCTGGGTCTTCTCTGTCCTATCCTGGAGGCTCCAGCCGTCCCCTGGACCCAGGGACCTCCTCCCACAACACCGCTCAGATACACTGGACCCCGTGAGTACCGCCTGGGGGTGCTGGGTCAGGGGTGGGAGCTGCCATCAGGCAGTATCTAGCACACCGACCCAGTAGCCCGCCCTGGCTCCCCGAGGTGGATTTGGTAAGCCCCTGATAGGTAGCACTTGTTCTTGCTCTCACTTAAGGGTGACTTGGTGGCTGGGGTGGGGGCTGCTTGTCTGCAGTGCTCCTGATCTGTCCCTGTCAGCCCTTTAGCCTTAGAGCAAGCCTCCCACACTCAGCCCCCAGCCTCAGTCTCCCTACTGGGTTTCCAGCCCTGAGGTTAGTGTGTGGATGCATGAAGTGTGGGAACTGGTAGAACAGAGTGGAAGGCACTGGGAGTGCCGAGGAGGCAGGGTTTGGGTAGTTAGAGCTTGGAGTGCGGGGGGAGGCCTGGGGAAGAATGCCCTGGAGCCAGACAGAGCTGTCATCCCTGGACCTGGGCCAGGGCTGATGGGGGCATGGAGAAACCCTGGGAAATTCACAGGATGTGGCAACACTTGGGTTTAGACTCTGGGTCTGTCTCAGGAAGGGGTGAGGGCTCTGGGTTGCCATGACCGTGTCTCCCGCAGGTACCGGGCAGTGTACCAGTACAGGCCCCAGAATGAAGACGAGCTGGAGCTGCGGGAGGGGGACCGAGTGGATGTCATGCAGCAGTGTGACGATGGCTGGTTTGTGGGTATGTGGGCCTGGTGGGTGCGCTGGAGGGCAGCCTCGAGGGGGGTATCTCAGGGCCCCTTGAGGGGTATTGGTTCAGCACAGATTCATGGCCTGATCCAAAACACATGCCTTCTGGCCTGGCTCCTGGAGAGGCCTGGCCTGATGCTTCCCCAGAGCCAGCACTTCTGTTGCTGCCTTCATTCCTAAAGAGGGATGAGGCCCAGGTCATCTATTAAGTCAGTGCAGACTTGGACCGAGTCTCACACCTGTGTATCCCCCACTCCTACCCCCAGCTAGCAGCTAGCTCCCCCCAACCCCTTCCACCAAAAGGAGAGAGAGATCCTGGCCCTCAGGGCAGCTCAGGCAAAGAACTAATGCAGGAAGCCTCAGGCTGGCCTTGGCCTGGTTCAAGGTGACCAACCCAGCAGGTTTCACATGGCCTGCTTCACCAGAGTGGGCAGGCCCTGTGCCAGCCTCAGCTTCAGAGGCTGGGGCCGTCCTCAGAGACTAGTGAGCAGCCAGAGCGCCCGTGCTAGGCTGCGGGGCCTGAAGTGTTGGAGGAGTGGCCTTGGGCAGGGGTGGCCTCAGGGGCAGTCCCTTGACCTGGCAGCCCATCCTTTCTCACCTGAGCCCCAGCACCTGGCTGGTGACCAGGCTTTAGACATGCCAGTGATTATGAAGTACTAACTTGTTAACGTCCTTACCTCGGAGGGGTGTGCAAGAAGAAAAAGCACTGCCTTTGTGGTATAAGCTGCATGTGCTTTTAGAGGAAAAGTTTAGAAAGTTCAGTTTCTTGGTTACACTAGCATACGTTATATGCTCAGTAGCCACAGTGCAAGTCAGGGAAGACTTCCTGAAGGAAGTAGGGGAGCTTGACCTTGAAGGGTGGCAGAGCAGAAAAGGGAGGCCCTCCGTGCAAGGGAACAGTATCAGCAAGGCCTGGGTACAGGGTGGGCATGGGCTACTCATAAGGAAGTCAGGATGCCAGTGGGCCAGGACTTTCATTCACATTCCTATGTCTCCTAGCATTCCCCCTCCACACCCCAGGACACAGGTGTCTTTGGGGGGTGGCAGGCCAGAGGCCTGAATTTTAGGCCCACCTCTACTCCTAAGCAGCTGAGTGCTTTGGGGGAATTCGTTTAGCCTCTTAGGCCTTATATGCCCCATGTCTAAAACGAGGTGCCATACTAGACCGATGAGAGTCCTCAGGATTTAAGTTCTGTGATTTACCCTCCCGCCTCCTTGCTTTCCCGGGGAAGGGTGGGGTGGTTCTGTGCTGTGTGCTCAGATTGGCGGAGCATTATTGACTTTAGCAAATGTAGCTTTGCTTTTCTCGGCTCCTGCCACTAGGGGGCAGGAATGAGGCAAACGAGTCCTCCCTGGGACAGGGACTCCACCGGCAGTTCTGGCCACTGCCAGCAGGGGGCAGGGCCCTCGTTATTCTCTCCTTTCCTCTTTCAGGTGTCTCCCGGAGGACCCAGAAATTTGGGACATTCCCTGGAAATTATGTAGCTCCAGTGTGAAAGGTCTCCGTGGCAACTCAGAGCCCAGCCAGGATGGGGTGGGGAGCAGTAGCACTTCTCAGAAGGAGAGAGGACCCCCCGGCCTTCCCAACTCCTCCTCACCAGGACCTGGCAGCTGGCATCTGCAGACAACCCGGCAGCCTTTCCCTTGGAGCCCCCTCGAAGCCCCCTGGACTGATTCCCACCCAAAGCTCACAGGCATTCCTCTCACAGTCCTTTTATTTCCTCCCCTACCCAATTCCCCAAATATAGAGGTCTGCTTTGAAGTGGAGACTGTTTCCAGGCCTTATTGAGACCAGACCCGGGAGTCTCCCACCCCCACCCTGCTATAGCGTTTCCTCTAACAGGGACTGGCTCCCAGCTTCACCCCCATGGGGTTCCTCTAACAAGGACCAGCTTCCTAACCTAACAGAGACCAAAGGCCGCCGCTTGGAGGGGGTGCCTCCCCTTCCACTCCAGCTTGCCCGCTGCCCCCTTTGCCTTCCTGCTTCCAGCTGGGCCTGGGAGTGAGGTGGTGGGTGGACACCACACCTCTTTAGCATTTGAGGCCTGGCAAGAGGTCTTGCCTGAAGGCCCCCTCTTTCCAAAGGTTGCCAAGCCCTGGGCCTGGGCTGTGCATATGTCCTGCTGCTGTAGTGCCCAGGAAGGATGGGCCTCAGAGGTCCGGCCGATTCCAGATGTTTCCCAGGGAGACTGATGTGTGCTGCCCTCATGCCTCCCCTGCTCCCCCCAACTCTCAAGTCCCCTCTGCAAGAGAATGTAAAATAAATCGGGATACCAGGGGCCTTGCCTTGCACTCCTTTTTCGGCGGGGGGAGTGAGAGAGGGCTCCTCCTGTTTAGGATTATGGGAATTCTTTCTTCAGTGGGCTGTGCTGAATCAGGTGGCATGTGAGTGTGTGTGCGCACACGTGTAAGGGGAGGCTGGGAAAGCAGCACGATTATCTCTAAAGATCTCGGGCCTCAGGTCTCAGGCAGCATTGGGCGGCCCCCAGTATTAGGCAGCTGTCTGACAAGCAGCACAGAGAGAGAGAGCACTAGTGTCACAAGGACCACGGTGAGGCCCGATTGTGGGGAGAAACCAGAGATGGGAGCTGAATGTGGCCTTGTGTGCAGGCTGTTTTGATTCTGGAGCCAGCGTGGGGCTGCTGGACTGGATGACATGTCTCACTGCTCTGAGGTTCCTAATGTTTTCCTTCTGTGCGTTTATTTGCTTCTTTAGGCTCGGATTTTTGAGCAATAGGTGGGAAGTTGGGAGTGGTGGGCCACAGCTAGCCAAAGTGATTTCTCGCCCAAGGTTTCAGAGTCCTGGGGCTTGGTGGTTCCCGTGGGGCGACAGTGGTGGCACAGTCTGGGCTCGGCTGCCCTGCCCAGGAAGGAAAGCTCCATTCCTTGGCAGCAATGGGAGCTGAGCAGGGCATGAGGTACTACACACCCACTATCTGCCGTAAGCATCACAGCAGGCAGGGCTGACTCCACAGGAGAGAAGGCTGAGAAATTCAATTGTCCGGGTCACATCATTATAAAATGCTGAAGTCAGGTGCATGACTGTTGCCACCTGTCTGCACAAAGTCAACCAGGCATTCCTTGTCCAGAGGCCACTGAAGAAGGAAGGTCACGTATGAGGTCAAGGACTTCTGTAGGGTGGTCCCAGGCTGGGCTTCTTTTACATTCTTTCTGGCAATGTCGTCTTCCAGGCCTGTCACTTAAGGTGCCCCCACCCTAGGTGGGTGGGAAGAGGTGGGGGGGCCCAATTTAGTCGAGGCAGGTGGGTGAGGCCTGTGAATGACAGGACTGTGGCCTGGCCCTGGCTGGTTCCTTGAGCCTGGGTGGGGCTGGGCCCCAGTGGCGGTTAAACAGCAGCTGGAAGAACAAGACCTGCGTGTCCTCCTTCAGCCATTCTGGCCACTCCAGTCCTCACCACAGTCTGCTTCTCAGTAGACAGGTCCACCCTATCCTATAAAAACAACCATTCTTCGGGACCCCGCTGGCTTGTTCCTGATTCCCGTCTTTGCATTCCCTGATACCCTCATGTAAGATGTCAGGGCTGAGTCTGCCTTTACCTGGGGCAGAAACCAAATCCACACCCTCTCTTTGATGCAGACCTGAAACCTTGGCAGCAAACCCGCCCTAGGCCCCTGGGCTGCCTGCCACGAGAGCCCTGATGTACGATGACCACTTCTGTGCTGTGATCTGGCACGATGGGGGAAGGGAGGGGAGGGTTAGAGGCCTGAGGTGGGAGGGGGATCTGAGGGGTTAGAGCCAGAAAGGACCGTAGGCCACTGGGCCGCTCCTCCCATTAGAGAGGTGAGGTGCCCAGAAGCACAGAGTTGCTTAGAGCAGAGCAGTACTCCCTTCTGTTCCCAGGGGTCATGCCTGCCGACTTTGTCTTTGTCCTGAGTTTTGTGAACGCAGAACCCACAGAGAAGAGATCCTATAGATGGACCTGTCCAAGGCAAAGTCAGGAGCACCAAAAGCTATAAAACAGATTGGGGGGTGGAAGGGAGAGATTAATCCGTTCGATCATTAAAACAATATTCATTCACCAAATATTTATTGAATGCCCTACTGGGAGGGAATGACTGACTGTGCTAGGCCATGGGAATGGAGCAGTGAACCAAGCAAAAACGCAGCCTGCCCTCCGAGGAGACTGTGTAGCAGGCAGCTTTATATGGAAGAGCAATCGGTACAACTATGCATTGTCCCATTTTACAGATGGGGAAACTGAGGCCTAGAGGACATGAGGAACTTGTCCAAGGTCACACAGCTAGTAGAGGCAGACCTGGCATTTGAGGTGAGGTCTGTGTGAGCCCAAGGCTGTGTTGGCCCTAACGGTAGCTTTCTGCTTCCGCAGGGCTTCCAGCCTGGGTGGGGGATTGGACAGGTGCATCAGGTGAAACAAGCACACCGCTAGGCTTGGGACTAGTTAGTGGGAGAGCTGCTTACATACACTGGGGACAGAGCTGTGGGAAGCTAGGGACAGGGGAGGTAGCAGGCTAGAGGCAGGCTGGGTTGTGTATGTAGAGAGCCAGAGACCCATAGGTAGGTGAGGGGGGAGGGGACGGGGTGGGGAGGGCACTCCTTGCAAAGGGAACTGGGAGGGAATGACTACCTGAGGCAGGCAAGTTACAGCTGTGCCCACAGGTGTGCCCCCCTCCCCGGAAAACAAACCAGCCTCTCAGAGAAAGTGCAAAGTGGAGACCAATGGGAGATGGAGCCAGCTCTGGTGGGCCCTGAAGTCCCCAGGGGGAGGGTTGCTAGGTACGACTCCAGGGAAACCCTTTGCCAGATGGTTCTGAGCTGGTGCCTGGAGCCTCTCCTTGGCTGTCCCCTCTGATCCCTGGAGCCTGGGTTCCAGGAGGCGGCAGAGGGCTGGGGCGTGGGGGACAGACGAGGGCCAATGGAGGTTGTTGGGGTTGGCCAGCCCCAGGCAGGACAGCAAGAGAGAGTGAAGGCAGCGGGAATGGAAAAAGCATCAGCCCAGAGGAGGAAGGGACATGTACATCCCAGGAGGGTGCGGGTGACCTCCACCCGGAGTCTCTCCTCTCCTCCTCCTGGACCTGGCCGGTCTCCCTGAGTGGAGCCGGTCTGCCCGGCATCTCCAGCGGGAAGCTCTGCGCCACTGCCCCTTGAGCTCTCTGGCCTCGGGAAGGCGG